ATTTATGACCAAACCTTATGCCAATAACAAATTCAACAGAGAAATCTTGTGGAAAGTACAATTGACAAAATTAGCAGACATTACCAAGAGAAAAAAACAAACAAAACAAAACAAAACAAAAGAACAAACAGAAAACCATGGCAACATCCTTCACAAACACAGATAAGATAGTAATTCTTACCAAGCTACTACTGAATTGAACTTAGCGGAACTTGAATATAAACTACACAATAAGCAAGTGGGACTTCACAGGAATGAAGTCAGTGTAACATCCAGGTATCAATCAAATAACATGAACCAATAAAGGAGAAAACCTCATGATCATCTCAACAGGTGCAGGAAAAAATACTTGGTCCATTCAACATCTCTTCATCCGGAAAACTCGTGTCATACTAATAATTGAAAGGAAATCACCAGAACTGCTCGAGAGTGTCTGTAAAAAGCACCTATAGCTTCCATTACTTAACAGCAAAACACGAAGGCTTCCTTCCTAGAATTTTGGGAGAAGTCAAGGATGTCTGCTCTTCCTTTGTACACAGAAGAGGGGGCAGGAGAGTCTATCCAGTGCAATCAGGCACGGACAAGGAATCAATAAAGATAAGGAATAAATGGGGCTTCTGGGTGGCTCAGTTGGTTAAGCGTCCGACTTCGGCTCAGGTCATGATCTCGCGGTTCGTGGGCTCTAGCCCCGCGTCGGGCTCTGTGCTGACGGCTCGGAGCCCGGAGCCTGCTTGGGATTCTGTGTCTCCCTCTCTCTGGCCCTCACCCGCTCACGCTCTGTCTCTCTCTCTGTCTCTCAAAACTGAATAAACATTTTTTAAAAAGATAAGGAGTACATAAATAAAGGCTCAAAAGGAAGACCAAACTTACTTCATTTTCAGATAGGATTGTCCGCTCCGGGTGCGGGTAGGGGTGGGGGCAGGGAGGGGAAAACAAGGAATCTGTCAAAACAAGAAAACAAGGAATCTGTCAAAACGAAAACCAAATGGCTTCTAAAACTGATAAGCGATGTTGGCAAGGATGGAGAATAGAAGTTCAATATGCAAAATTCAACTGTATATCTTTAGAGTGACAGCAAGAAAATAGAAAATAAATACATACATACATATATTTATAATCATAGAAAAGCATATTTGTAAATAAATAGGACGAAATATCTGCAAACTCACCACCCCGAAAACTATAAAACATCTTTGGGATTAATTTAGGAAGATGTAACGAATGGAGAGGCGTGTATGTTCTGCATGAACTGGAAATCTCATTTTTCATATGGTGTCAGCTCTCCCAACTGAAGGAAAAGATTCAACACCATCCCAATCAAAATTTGCAAGTTCTTTGTAGAAATTAAGAGAGGCTATGTCTATGGCATTTCTAGATCTTGGAGAGGCAATGATTTCTTAGAGGAGACAGAGAGATAAATAAAGTTTCAAATGTATTAAAGATTTCATCAAGATAAAAACTCTGCTTGTTAAAAAATACCACAAAAAATGTAAAGCGAGGCCACAGACAGGGAGAACATATCTGTAATACATACATCTAGGAAAGAAAATATAGTTTGTATACATTATATATGTAAAATTAATATATAAAAATGTTTATAGATTTTAATTCTCTCTCACAGATAAATGGTGCAGGCCACCTAAAGCCAAATGAGAACCACTTTGGACTCATAATAATGGTTAAAATTTAAAATACCAACAACCTCAAACATTTGTAAAGGTTTGGGACAACTGGATCCCTCCTATATTTCTTGTGGAAATGCAAAATGGAACGACTACCTTGTAAAAATGGTTTGCTACTTCCTTAAATAGTTATGCATATCTCTACCCTATTACTCTCCAGTGCCACTGAGGGAGGTAATGAAAACACATGTCCACAAAATGACTTTTATAAGAACGTTCCTGGCAGCCTTGAGCGTCACAGTCCCCAACTGGAGACCACACAAAGATGAACATGTTGAAGTGTATCCGTGCAGCAGATAGCTACTCCACAAAACAATCCACCACGCTACTAATACATGTGATGACCAGATAGATCTAGAAAGCATGCTGAGGGAAAGAAGCCACGCGCAAAAGCATACAGACCACAAGACGCTATTCATGTGAATTTCTAGAAGCAAAAAGAATAATCCATGGTGATAGAAATCAGAACAGTGACAACCTCGTTAGGATGTGTGCCAGAAAAGACTGGATGTGGCTAAGAGGCAAAGCTCTGCTTGGGTGGAAATGATTCAGATCCTGGCAGGGGTGCAGGCCCATGGGCACCTGCCTTTGTCAAAGCTCAGGGAACCGTATATTCAATGCTCAATAACCGTGTACCTGAATAAAATTAGAAACAAAAATCCATGGCGTACGATGGGAGAATATGTTTTAATATAGATCTCCAGAATGTAGCAGAGATTCTACCAAGTAATAAAAAAGAGATAGAGACTCCCAGAGGAAAAAAAAAAAAAAATAGGCGAACAACTTGAACAGGCACTTCTCAAAAGTAGACCTCTAAATGGGTAAAACAGGGAGAAAAGATGTTCTCCATCATTAGTCATCGGGAAAGTACAAAATAAACAAGGCAAGCACTCTACTTTCACCAAAATGGCTCAGATGGGAATGGAAAAAAGTGACAGTACAAATACCAGGATGATGGGGATGGCCTGGGACTCTGCTTTTTTTGAAGACTGGGTATCTGTGAGTCACAAGACTTAACGCGCTCCTAACAGTGGGCCCCAAAAACTGCCCCCAGTTATTTATTTTGAGAGAGAGAGAGAGAGAGAAAGAGAGAAAGAGGGCAAGCAGAGGTGGGGAAGAGAGAGGGAGACAGAGAATCCCAAGCAGGGTCTGCACCATCAGCGCAGAATCTGAGATAGGGCTCGATCTCATGAACCATGAGATCATGACCTGAGCTGAAATCAAGAGCCGGATACTTAGCTGACTGAGCCACCCAGGCGCCCCTATATATACACTCTAAAAGGCATGTGCAATCATGTTTCTAGGGGCTGCACATGGAATAGTCCAAAGCTGGAAGGAGTTGAGGTACCGTCAGCCGTGTAGCAGACACATGAACCACACAGTGTCTTCACAGCATGCCCACTGCACCCGTGAGCTCTGATTCTGACACACATGGATCTCCCAGACCTCACGCTGCTCATGGAAGCCAGACTCTGAAAAGCCTCTTAAGTTCAAGATCGCATTACGTGGAATTTGAAATGCACACAGCCACGTCTAGCAAAACAGAGGGTGCGTGGTGTCTGTCGCTTCAGGGAAGGGTGGAGTTTAGAGATTGGAGGAGGGACCTCTCCGAGCGTCGCGTTGCTGATTTGGCGGGGTTGCTTTAAACCAATTCTTTGGCTACCACTTTAAGCTTGTGACCAGGGAACAAGAATGGCCAGCCTTCCCACCCTTTCTTGAAACTGGAGAGTGGTAAGATTTTATTCTCCGTGGTTGTCGACTGGGAAGGCAATTAGGAGGCACCAGAGGGGCTGGCAATGGTCCACTATCTTGACCTAGACTGTGGTGACATGTGTGTTTACTTGTGAAAGTTCCCAGGCATCGCGTTTGTGCAATTTACTGCATTTAAGTTTACAAAAAACAAAACAACCCCCCCCAAAAAAAAAACAAGAACAAAAAACTTTATAAATGAAAAAGGTAATTTTATTTATTTTTTTAATGTTTTTATTTTTGAGAGAGAGACACAGAGTGTGAGCGGGGGCGGGGCAGAGAGAGGGGGAGACACAGAATCCGAAGCAGGCTTCAGGCTCCAAGGTGTCAGCACAGAGCCCGACATGGGACTCGAACTCACGGACTGCGAGATCGTGACCTGAGCCGAAGTCGGACACTTAACCAACTGAAGCACCCCGGAGGCCCGAGAAAAGTAATCTTAAATAAAAGCAAATTAGAAACAGCTTTTTTTTAAAGGAAGCAATAGGGACTAAGAATTCAGAGTAGGAACTGAGAAGACACATCTGAGGAAATAACCCAAACGCAGCCCAGAGAGGTAAGTATGGAGCCAGTTTAACACAAGACCGGGGCGGGGGGGATAGCATTCCGATCAGGCCACAACAGCAGGGGGATCGATCCTCACCATTTCAGCGAAAACTTCTGTTCCTAGGAGGTCATGCAGTCGTGCAAGCTACCAACATCATCTTCGTTTTATGGGTGAGATTTCAGAGGGACGAGGGGGTTTGTAGCACGTCCAAGGTCACCCAGCTAGGAACTTACGGAAGTAGGACTTAAACCCAGGTGGTCGTCAGAGATCATGTTTCAACCATCAGTCGAAATTGTCTCAATGACAGGATGAGGAAGTCTAATGTTTCCCCCCCACACACAAGGAAGGAGAAGGAGCAGAGAGGAAGGCATACTCGCCGAGCTAAATTCCCATAATGTGAGAAGAAATGAGTCTCTCCAGTATAAGAAGCTCTCATATCCCGGCGCCTGGGTGGCTCAGTCGGTTGAGTGTCCGACTCTGGCTCAGGTCGTGATCTCACGGTTTGTGGGTTCAGGCCCCGCGTCAGGCTCTGTGCTGACGGCTCGGAGCCTGGAGCCTGCTTCGGACTCTGTGTCTCCCTCTCTCTGCCCCTCCCCACTCACCTTCTGTCTCTCTCTGTCTCTCGAAAAGGAATACATATTGAAAACTAAAAAATAAATAAAAAAGAAGCACTCATATCCAGGCCGGGTAAAGCCAACTCCACACCTAGGGATGCTTTCGGCAAAAGTTTCATCCACTGTGTCCGAGACGGCCTCTGAAAACCAGCCAGGTAGAGAGGGACGAGGGGGGCCCCATCATCATTCTGCCCGCACCTCCCCTGCATGCTGTCTACCTGCCTTCCCAGTCCTGACACCCGCGGCTGTGAACTTGCCAGCTGCCTTCTGTTGGGCTCCCCAGTGGAGAGGTCGGCGGGACCTGCATCCAGCACCTGTCCTCCGGAAGCCCGTGCCTCGAAGGCCACCCCTCGGGGAGCTCCAGAGCTCGCAGGACCTGGTAACACTCCCCTTCTCTGGTCTTTGCAGTTCCCAAGACCTTCTGCTGCCAAGTGTGGGCTGCCCCCTGACCTGCACTTCCTGCCTTAATTCCACCTGCACTTCCATTACTGCTGTTAACCCTTGACCTTGAACGACACAGTTTGAACCGCGCAGGTCCACCTGTACTCAGATTATTGTCGATGAATACCACACAGGGCTACACGCGCATTCCGTCCGCTTTATGATTCTCGTAATAATGTTTTCTCTTCTCTAGCCTACCTTAGGGTAAGCATACCATATGTAATAAATATAACACACAAGATGGGTGCTAATAGTTTAGGCCATCAGGGAGGCTTCTGGCCAACAGTGGGCTCTTCGTAGTTTAGTTTCTAGGGAGTCTAAATTATACGCAGACTTTGGGCTGTGCAGGGGCCGGTGCCCCTAACCCCACAAGGTTCAAGGTCAACTATTCCACTTCGTTAATCTCTCCGTTTGCTCCATCCACGAATTCTGTTTTCTACCTATCGATCCCGATCGATACTTGTTGCTACCGCGAGGCACCAGGAACTTGAACCTCCAGATGGGATTTAGAGACTGGGTTTCTCACGTCGTGGGTCAACGCACGGGGCCCCCCTTGCTGGCCCAGAGTTTTGGACAGTAACTCCTGTACCTGTGGTGGCTCAGGAGTGCTAGCACATGGTTGTGAGTCATGAAGCCACTGTTTCCCCTGAGCACCATGGCCACAGGAACGGTGACGGACATTGTGGTGATTGCAGGGTACGTGTGGCTCTGATCACATCCCTGGAGAGACTTTGAGAGCAAGTTAAATTAAGGGTCTTGCGCGTGAAGGATGCTGGGATAACCAGAAGGCTTGTAGGGCAGCCAGAAATGAGTCTCTTCTCTTGAGTGGCCCCAGGGCAGCTGTGACTGAGGCGCAAATGCATGCTATAATTGAGCGGTTTGCAGGGATTCAAAGTGGACATTCCGTACAACTCACAAATTTCCTAACTTCCATGCTGGGATTAAGGACGGAACGGAGGGGCACCTGGGTCGGGGGGCTCAGTCGGTTAAGCGTCCGACTCTTGGTTTTCAGCTCAGGTCACGATCTCATGGTTTGTGGGATCGAGCCCCACGTCAGGCTCTGTGCTGACAGTGCGGAGTCTGCTTGGGATTCTCTCTCTCCCTCTCTCTCTGCCCCTCATCCACTCACACATGCATGTGCTCTCTTCCTCAAAATCAACAAATAAACATTAAAAAAAAAAAAACCACAAAGAACTGACTGGAAATGAGTGGGACCTACGGAGATGTTTGGGAACACACAAGGAGCTGGGGACTTCGAACCTCCAAAGGCCCGTGGGGGTCTCTCGCTGGCAGAGGCTGCTGGGCTCCTGTTTCTGATGAGTTAACATCCTGCTGTATAAACACTTTTCCGCGACCTCATAAGGGGATGCCAGTTTTCTCAGGACTCCCTCCCAAGCCCCTCATGTACTTAAATCTCAGCTTAGCCCAGAGGGACGGTTGCAAGGTCTGCTTTGGGAGAAGGCAGGCAGCGTATGCGCAAAGCAGCCATAAGATCTCACCCGTTTGGATCAGTAGGTACCTAAGCTTGGATCGGGGCAAACGCGTTAGTAAGGACGCACTGGGCCGGGATGTAAAAGTCTCCACTCGAGCGGCTGGGAGCTCTAAGCATGTGCTGTGCCTGGACGCTCATTGGACACCCCACTGGTTGAAGATGAGTTACACAAATCCTTCCTGAGTGAGGTGACGCGCTCCCGCCGGTTTGCCCGGGACCTGCTGGGTTTTAAAACCAAAATGTCCTCTCTCCCGGGCAGGCTGGCCACCTTGGTGGAAGACTGGAGCGGTTCTCTCCGATACAACGCCGAGTTCAGCAGCCCCTAGGCCTCGCACAGGGCACTTCTTTCCCCGGGACATTAGGAACCCCTTGACCCCGTGGTGGCTGCCCTCTGAAGGCCAGTGTCATGGCGGCAGGCTGTGTCACTGGGCTCCAGTGAAATATAACGGCAGTGAAATAGGCAAGTTTTCTCACTCGTCCCTTATTCAATGTTCTGGGAATAATGTCTTATTCTGGTGCAAGAAACGTGATTCGTGTCTCCGTAGTGATTCACAACCTCACACCCTGTGCTTAGACTGTTGCCAGTTTACAGAACCGAGGCCCTCTCTCTGGGAAAGCCCAGTACCTCTGGCGAAGGGCCTCACGACGCGTACTCGGAATGCTCGGAATGTGCCCCAGTCCTTCTCCAGAGGGAGATGTGGCCATTTACCAGGACAGCTGTCAGGAAAGGGAAGCACTATATGCTATTCAGAGTTCAGGCTAACCCCTGGAGACCCAGCACACCAGCGTGGCCAACAGGGAGTCAGACGATCCACGGAGTTTGGCTTAAAGTCTCACCCCGGGCCCAATGGGTCGGTCGGGCCACCCCGTGATTATCTGTGCGGGTTTTGTTTTTTTTTTGTTTTTTTTTTTAATTTTTTTTTCAACATTTATTTATTTTTGGGACAGAGAGAGACAGAGCATGAACGGGGGAGGGGCAGAGAGAGAGGGAGACACAGAATCGGAAACAGGCTCCAGGCTCCGAGCCATCAGCCCAGAGCCCGACGCGGGGCTCGAACTCACGGACCGCGAGATCGTGACCTGGCTGAAGTCGGATGCTTAACCGACTGCGCCACCCAGGTGCCCCTCTGTGCGGGTTTTGAATGTGGCCTCGGAAGAGACATTTGGAGCAAGCAGCATAAATCCCGCATGGTTTTCCTCTGTCTGGCAGGATGGCCAAGTGCAGGTCCTGAACTATTCTTGCTCACAACCGGGATAACTATGGCAGTGCCACGTGCCTGGTGGATCTCGGAGGTCTGGCCCATCAGCAGACGGGGCGAGGGCAGTGGTGGGGCTTTGTCTCGTCAGCTGTTTCCTTCTGTTCTACGGCCGGAAGCCAGAAGCATACCGAAGAACTAAGGACGAGTTTCAACCCAAACACTGGTGGCTGCTGATCGCAGCTACTGTTCCGGGTGTAGCTGATGAGGTTTGGGGGTGATGGTGGGGTTCACGAGGTTCGGAGCCGATGGCCAAGAAAGAATTCTTGAGGATGTCTTTGGTGCAAAAAGGTGATTTTACTAAAGCACGGGGACAGGACCCCTGGGCAGGAAGAGCTGCACTGGGCTGGCGTTGTGCATGGTGACTGGTTATGGACTTTGAAGTTGGAGGGGGGCAGTAGAGGCTAAAGGGAAGCCTCCAGAAGGACTTTCATGTGCTAAAGAGGACTCAGACGATACCTGAGGCCTGGCTATTGTCAAGCTAAGGCTGTTGCCCTCTAGCAAAGCATTGACATTAGGAAGGTAGGGGATACCCGGAGAAACGCTCTACTCTGGATTTGCCTCCAGCATTTGCCCGTGGGCTGCAGGTTATAAGGACGCATAATTTTATCTACATTTCCTTCTTGGCTTTGTTCCCCACATCACTATGGAGGGGAGGGTGATGTTGGGGCTCCAGGAAAACAGTCTCTAGGTTTCTGGAGATGAGGCTAATGATGAGATAGCTTTTCTCTTGTAGTTTACTGAGACATTTGCAAACTCATCAGTTTAACCATTTGTCTTCTGTCCTCTCCGTTGTCCTGGGGCAGCGGGAAGGCCTGAGGACCATCCCAGGTACCCCACCTGGGATGGGGGGCAGTGAGCTAGTTTGTGCTTTGAGCCCAGCTCGCCTGCTGCTCCCGAATCACAGTAGGTTAACCCGGGCTGCAGAACCAGATCCCCAGCTGTGCTCTTCGCTGTGTCAAGAGAAATGTCAGTTTGGAGCCTTGTGGTCTCCGGTCCCGGGAAGTGCTCCTCAATTTCTTGGGTGAGTTCCGTCCCCCACCCCATGTGAAAGCCTCTCCCGAAATTTAAAGCCAGGGTGTGTGACGTCCTGGACGGACGTACTCCTTTTCGCTCATGCTGTCTCCTGTCATCGTTTCTTTGTCTGTAGGTCCCCTGTGGGTCCAGCCTCCGGAGAGTCCCTGCATTGTCGTTCTGAGGCGCCTTTGAGCAGAAGCCAGACTGGATGGGCGTGTTCCCTCTGCCATCGAGAGGAAGACATTTCTCCATTTTGGCGGCATCTGCAACACCTTGCTGAGTCTTCTGTCCGTCATGAAGACCTCACCAGACGCGTTCATACACGAGCGAAGACTTGTCTTTTCTCCTCTTGAGCGGGAAAGGTGCCACTCTGCCCTGTCATCTGTGACGCAAACTTTCCTGGAGTCCGAGAACGGTCCCCAGGCCAGTAGACAGTTAGCTTTGCCCAAAGATGACGATGTCTCATGGTTGCAGGCAGTAAATGACTGAGCGTGTCACGTGACCGCGGGCAGCGGTGGGGGCGGGGGGGGGGGCCCCCTGCTCACAGCTGCCGCTGTGCCCCCATCAGCCCTCTCGTCCTTGGACCGTGAAGCCATCCTCATTAGCGCTAAATGCGACGTTGCCACCAGCAAGGTCACTGGGAGAGACTCACACTCCTCTGTCGCCTGCACGACACCAAAAATAATGAAAAGACCATCTCCCAAATCAGGTTCTGGTGAGGCCCGTGGTGCCCTGATGGTGACATTAGAACAGACTAAATTGTTCTCATTAAAACGCAGCCATTGCCGTGGACGAGAAGGAGCCCCAGAGAGCGGGCTTCAGATCTACGCCTTGTTTCCCTGAATTATGGAGAATTAACCAGCTTCCATCCCTGCTTCCGGAAGGTGCTGGCGGTCTCTGGATTGGAGGGAAGGGGCCCACGTGACCACGGAGCCCGGAGGGGGTGGCGTGTGTCTGATTTTGCTACCAAGAACAACAACCACAAAAATGATATTCGATCATTAAAAGCAGAGAAGAGATATTTATACACGAAACGAGTGCTTTTGATTTGCTCCCTGGAGTAAAATGTCATAAATAGCTGTTAATTTGGGTCTGTTTACTCAAAATTTAATGCCTGCAGAAAATCTATTTGAATCATCACGAATGTAATAATGTCTGCCAGGAAGAAGGCTGGGAGTGATAGCAGCAATTTGGGCTGAAGCTTGAGGATACTGGGGCTGGCATCTGCCGAAGTGGAGCCTAATTAATGTCTGTGCGCTCCCCGCCAAGCGGGCCAAACCCGCAGAGCATCAATCACAGGCACCGGCCGGCTCCGCGGGCCTCACCGCAGCAAGAAAACTCACTTTTTTTCCAGTGCTAAATATTAGTGCTATTAATATGTGGCCCTCGACTGTTTTCTTAACTCTTTTGATGAAAGGGGTTAATTATCACGATGATTATTTCATCATACGATTTGGTGGCTCTGCCTGGTGAGACAAAAGACGCTTCCCAGGACAAGAGGAAGGATGGCCAATAAAAGTTGTTACATGTAAACACCACACAACGCTCGCTAACAAATGGCCGCATCCCCGGTAATGATGTCCCCGGAGAACGGCGCTGGCGGTGGAGCGGGGACCTTTGGTCCCGGCTCCGTAGCCGAGCAAAGACAGGAGCGGGGGCCATTTGTTTTTCCAGACCATCCAAGGGCGAGTTCCCCCCGCCCCATGAGGCTCCTGCTTTTGCCACATTGTTTTTTTCCTGGAGTATTTCAGATATCGCAGTATTTGGGTCAAAAGACCAGAGGAAATGCCCTTAATTTCGCGTCCCTTTCAGCCACCCTGGGCTCTAAGAGTTCGTTTCAAAAGCTGTGGAGTGACCGTGAGGGGGCTGCCTGCCTCCCGGGCCCTCCTGTGCCCTGCAGGCCTGGGGGGGGAGCCAGCTCCAGAGAGACCAAAGTCTTTAACCAGGATTGAACACGCTCGACACCATTTCCAAGCCCGTTTTCTTTCAGAAGAGCTAAGCTACGGACTCAGTCCCCCTAAAACCCCCACCTGAGCCCACGGGATTGGGCCGTGGCTCCAGGGTGTGGTCCGTCCCCGTCTAGGGCAGCCCCAGCTGGCGTCCTCACGGGCAGCAGGCTGGTTCAGGTGGACAGGGACGCAGCCCTTTCTTTCCGCCCAGAACCGGGAGGAGCGGTGTCTTGTCCTCTGCGGGCTGTGGGCCAGAGGTTCCCACCCAGCCTCTTTCTGGGTGAGCGCCTCGGCCTCTAGGGCCTTCCTCTCTCCCGGTGTCCCTGGGGGGCTCTGTGCTGTGCCCAGGGCAAGTGGCTGCTGTGGCCCGCCGTCTGTCCAGACACGGATCTCCCTCCCATCCCCTCGCCCAGACGAGTCCAGCCCCTCCCCAGGCTCACGCTGGCTGCCACTCGGGGCTCGCATTTCCTTCTGTTTCCTCTCTATTGCTGCTGTGGACACAGAATCTCCTCTGTGGGACTGGGCCGTCCTTCCGACCCCTGACGACCTCCGCTTTCTCCCTCTTAGCCCGGTTCCATCAGAGCCACGATGCATCTGCCTCTGCGTGCCCTGTGTTGGAATAGCTCCAGTAATCTCAGGGATGCCAAGACTTTCTCGTCAGTCTGGGCCGCTCCGGAGTCAAAGGCCTGGCCGGCCCATCTACCCCCTGGGCTGCCGAGCAGGTGCTGGTCTGAGGCCGAAGAGTCCTTCAGGGGCAAATACAAAGCAAGGCGAAATGCCAGCCGAGCACAGCTAACTGTCATGTAAATACGAACAGAGGACCTGTAAGATAATTACGGTGGAGTCGCTACGGTGATTCTGACTCCTGGGTTGTTGGGACAACTCCCCACAAACGCACCCCCAGCTCAGGTGCTCTGGACACCGGAGGTTCGCTACGGGAGGCTCCTGGAGCAGAGACTAAGCACCGGGAGCCATGGGTGGGGAGGGACTCCGCTTCTGTCATAGGGCTTCACACGGCACCTGCCACTTGGCAGGAACACAGCAAGTGGTGACTGGGTGGGTGGACGGACCGGTACAATCACAAAATCAAAGTACAAAGCAGTGTCTCTGCTGCCCCAGACCCTGTGGTCTTGGCCAAGTTCGGCCACTCCGTTTCCCCCGGAGACCCTCCTGAGGACGTGGTGAGCCCCTCCTAAAGCCCTGGTTTACTGTCGAAGATAATTCACTCGCAGACACAAGAGCATCCGTCACGCGGGTCAGACTGTCGAGCTGTTTCTCGAGGCCGGAAATACACGTATAACAACACTTGCATTTGGAAGCTGTCTTTAATGCGGCGCTAAAATCCCACCGGCAGCAGCCTCACCGTCGCCTCGAAGCTCAGCCTGTCGTTTCTGCAAAAACACATAAACGAATTAAGGGGGAAGAAAGTGAGAAGCTCAGCAGTCACGCCCTGCGGAGGCTGGCTGGCACGAGCGTAGGGGAACCAGCGGCAACGTCCGGTGATGCTGGGGCGGCCACTTAAGATGGGCCCCGGAGGGAGGCTTTCCGCAAAGAAAGGGGACATGGCCGCCGAGCCGGGCTTGTGGCTCCGGGAGGGTGGACAAGCCAGCCGAGCCCCGCCAGCCCCACTTCGTCGTCTTCCGGTGCTTTCTCCTCTCTGCTGGGCCCCCCCCCCCCCCAGACGCTCCCTTTCCGCGGAAGGCCAGGCACCAGTTCACCTGTTATGGACGAGGGGACTCGGACTCAGCCCATGGCTGGCGTGGGGACTCCTGATGCAATAAAGACAGTTAATTAGGAGGGGGCACCAGTGGATTTCATCAGATGTGCTCATTTCTCTCTGCACGACAGGTCAGGCTGCGCTCGGCTGGACGGCAAAGCCCCAAAGTCCCACCCTGGGGCGGCCCAGGGACCGTGTTCTTGAGACGGAGGCATGAGGGCGTGGGGACCCCTGTGAGCTCAGCTCTGAACTTTGCCCTGGTCACCCAAGTGTCTGAGGCTCTCTGTACCTCAGCTCCCTCGCTGGGGCTGCCGAGGCGCAGACAGCATCGACAGGATGCGGCCGCCGGGGGCGTTCGCGGGGCAAGTGCAGGTCAAGCGTCCTCAGTGCTGTCAGGGGCTGGTGTCCATCCGTTCTCCGGGCCGTGATTGTGTTACTGCAGTCCCCCCAGGACACTGTAGGATGCACGCGTGTGTGATATAATCAATAGCAAACCCAGGAAACATGTGGCCTTGAACCCCCACCCCAAGGGACACCCCCACCCACACAGGCCTCTGAAAATCTTGGAGACACCCCTCAGGGAGCCTCCTGTTGATTCAGTTTTTTGAATGCATTTTTTTTAATGTTTATTTATTTTTGACAGAGAGAGAGAGAGAGAGAGAGTGAGACCGGGGGAGGGGCAGAGAGAGGGAGACACAGAATCCGAAGCAGCTCCAGGCTCTGAGCTGTCAGCACAGAGCCCGACACGGGGCTCGAACCCACAAACCGTGAGATCATGACCTGAGCCGAAGTCGGACGCTCAACCGACTGAGCCACCCAGGCGCCCCTTGAACCTATTTGAACAGAGGGCCCCGGCAGTGTCCGGGCTGGGAGTGCTCGTCTAGCTGGCCACCCTTCGCACCAGGACAGGCCCCAGGACACTAGAGACCCCGTCAGAGTCAGGGTGAAGCGTCTGGGCTCTGGGGAGTGAACGGCTGAGCGAGAACCAGCTCTTGAGCCCTGCATCATGGGCACCCTCCACCCCAGGCTTGCTCCAGCATCCGTGGAGTCCTTGGTGCCATTGCTGCTGAGCATGGATGGGCGAAGGCAGTGACGCCCGGCAGGCTGTCCGGGGCGGGTGGGCAGAGCCGTTGCAGGGACAGGCTGGGTGGAGGGCGGAGCAGAGCTGGGAGGTGACGGGGAGAACCCTCTTGTGACCCGTCCTCCCAAATAGCACAGGGCTGGTTCCGCGTGAAACCTCAGACCAAGCACAGGGACGGAGGGGGCCGGAAGGAGCAGGTGCATCCACAGCCAAGTGAGGGAGGGGAGGGGCCTGGGCCCTGCACTTCCTGGACCCCTGTGCAGCCAGCAGCACAGGGTGCAGAAAACTCCCCTCTAGTGCCTGGGGCTCCCAATGCCCATCCTACCCACGCCCGGGGGTTGGGGGAGGGGGCGCGAGGGGCCCCTGTCAGGGGAAAAGGACAGGGAGCTAGAGAGAGCATGGTTACACCCGAAGCGATTCTCTGCGGGCTTCATCAGTAAGCGTCTGTTAATAAACACCGACCGCGAGAGCAGCCTGGGGGACACTCTGTCCACCGTGCGTGACAGGCAGGGGGCTCCCAGTCCACACAGGGCCTCAGCCATGGGTGAGTTTTCTAAGAAAGGCTGTTCACAGCGCACATGTGATGGAGGAGGGAGCCATCTTTTGGCCTAGAGAAATCAAGGTGGGCTTCTCGGATGAGGAGACAACTGGAGAGGATCTTAAGGTTCTGGGTTGCACTCTGTGAATTGAAGAAGGTTGTCAGGAAGGCTAGGACACCCGAGCACCCGTCCTCGTCCCTTCCCTGTCTACCGCCCTACACATGCATCTAATTTCCCATGAACCCAAAAAGAGAGATAGCCACAATTAATATCTTTATGCAAATGTTTTGTGCCTCAGGGCATACCCTTGCTGTGATTTATGAACAATGATTAAAAATAACTCACTTAATGTAATCTAACATGAACAAATACGAGGAGACGAGATTAAATTAAATTTCTTCCCCCCGGAAAAAAGAACTCTGAAGGTCACCAGCCTCTTGGAAACACAGGTGCGTTCCTTCATTGGTGTTCAAGGTTTCAGGCCCCAAGATGGAAGCCTAAAAATAGAAGAGGCTGCCTTTAATACATTGTCCCGAAGTTAAGTCTGCTTCCGGTTTATCGTGAGCCCCTGTAAGGTTTCTTTCTGCCCTCAGAGTCAAGGTTTGGAGCTGGGAGGTGCTGGCATGTTTATTCAACACTGGGGTCTCCCCCTCCCCCCCCCACCCCAGGCCCATGTGCTTCCTTTCCAGGAAGGGCCCGGGGAAGAGATCGACAGCATCCAGAACTTTTCCTACAATCCCTACTTTAGTTCAAATTACTAGTTTCCAGGTGCAAACCCCGCGTACAGCTTCCCAGAAACACAGCTTCACGAGGTCGCAGACCCAGGACCTGGAGCCAGGTTTCCACCCGCACAGGCTGCCCGCGCATCCTCGTTGCCGAGTCAGTATGATCACGCCGCGTGGGGAGGGTGGGGAAGGGCCCATTCGCGGGAGAACCGCAGAGGACAGTGTTTCGCATAGGAAGTAATTTTTAAACCCAAGACGGAGAGCAGATACGAAACATAAATCATATGACGTGGCCGTTTAAACATTTATCTGCCGTCCGGAACTATCACACGGGCATCTTGCTACGCCCACACCGGAAGAGGTCACACGTCCCCGCTTGGATGGGACACACGCACGCTGACTCAGGCAGCACGCCCAGACGTTCCCTCTGACATTCCACCCGCCACCTGCTTGACAAGGGGGCCAGTGCGGTCGGGAAGGTACGGAGGGGCCTCCCCCTGGGGCGTCTGTGCCCTCAGCATCCTTCCTGGGGACGACCTGACATTCTGGGTCGATTTCTCGAACTCAACTCGTGACGGCACCAGTGGGCCTTTGTCTCCAAGAACACGTGCAAAGACACCGAGAGTCAGGCAGGTGACACATAATGTGGGATCATTTGCACCACAGGACACAGCAAAAGCCTCGCAAACCTCAGAGACCCCAGTGACTACCATTTCTTGCCGATGACAACCATCCATCCCTCTGTCCAGACGGGCAGGCCGCCAGCCTCCACCGGGTCACTCAGACGCCGCTTTGCACACACTCAGCGCGAGGGGCCGGGGGCCGTCCGTCCCTCTGTCCTGCTGTCCGCCTGGCAGGCCCGAGGAGGAGACAGCTGTTTATTTCTTTTCTCTATGCAGACAACATGCCAACGTTGTCTCATTTAATACCTCTGGCGATTCTGAGGAAGTCTTACCTGCATAATAAGAATGTCTCATTGACGATATTCATTCGCTCGTCCGTCCATTCGGCACTCCCCGAGCGCCGACTTCTTTCCAGGCGTCCTTCCAGGTAGGGGCAATGTGGCATCAGCCACAGAGAAAATGGTGTCGTCCTCAAGTTCACATTCTAACGGAATACCGCCTCTCAAGTACAGTCTGACACTCGTTGTCGGTCGTATAAAAGAATGCCGTATTTCGTCAATTCTAGGATGAACCATTGCTCGTAGCACCTTGGAAATCCGGACGTCCTTAGTCATGCCTGTTGGCCACTTGGTGGTCTTCTCACAGTGGTCAGTGCCTGGGCGTGTGCGCCTGAAGCTTGCAGAATGGGACCAGTGGCTTGGAAAATCCAAACCCCCAAGTGGATCATCCCCTTCCAGAGTGCTACACGAGTGCTGGGGATCACAGAGGGGCGTGCTGTGCGGACAGTCAGAAATACAGGAAATTCTTAATCGACAAGGTCCAGAGAATCAGACTGTAAATACGAAGCAGTCTTAAGAATACGGAGGTTGGTCAGGGGAATAACGGCCCCCCACACTGCCCGCGTCCTGACCTCCGGAACCAACGAGCACGGAAGGCTACGAGGCAAGGAGGAATGAAGGACGCTAACCGTCTGACCCGGAAATAGGGAGAGTGTTTGGCTGCTTCCGAAGGTGGTGGGAGGGGCCGGGAGCCAAGGGATGTGGAGCCTCCAGAGGCTGGAAGGGGCCGGGCCGTGGTTTCAGCCCGGGGACGTCCACGTCAGCTGTCTGACCCACAGAACCAAAGGGTAAGAATCTTGTGCTGCTTCAAGCCACTCGAGTCGTGAAAATTTGTTACAAATCGATTGGAAGCCAATACAAACGCATTAGCAAATTGACTTCACTTCCATGCTCCTGATGGCCACACGAAAGTGGTGTGGTTTGACAGTCCACAAGGTGCATGCCAGTGCCACGTGGTAGGAGGGCGTGGCACACAAGCAGAACCACTGGCGGTAGCTGAGGGTGATCAGCGGCACTCGGTGACACCTTACGTCTGATGAGTAAGTAACGACCAAGTGACGTAGTTATCCACGCACCCATTCTTAGATGTGGAAACTGAGGCTCTGTGGATACTCGTGCCGATAAGTACAGGCCATGATCTCATTCCTCAGCTCACTCCCAAGTCCTTGTCTATCCCGGGACACCCTCCTGGCCCGAGGTTGTGTCCAGGTCTCAGGAGGAAAATGCTGACCTTGGAGCTCAGATCTGGGGACTTGGGATCCAAGCCACGTGATCCAAAGGGCGTGGGGCCCATCCTCACCTTCTGGTCCCGGAGAAGGAGAGTTGTGCTGGCCCAGCTTTGTGCCCCAAGGCCGGCCTGGAGTCCTGGCCTTCCGGCACAGGATGCTGCGGCCAGTTCTGCGTCTGAGAGGTCAGACGGATGGGTCTCTCTCCCGGTGACCCGCACCAGTGAACGTCTTCCGTGCTCATGGCCGCGGGCTGGCTCTCTGCAGCAGCGTTTTCTAGAAGACTCAGGCGCTAAGCGCGGGTTTGCTCTTGCAATTTTGCAGCGGTGACCCTCTGAAAATAACTCTCACAAAAATGTCACTTAGGGATCTTTACGGCCGGAGCTGTCCATCCGTCTCCCCAACAGGCCAGCTCCTGGCAATCCTCAAAAAAGACTTTTCAGAAAACCTTTGCAAATAAATCACTAATTCCTCTTCTTCCACAAGCTAGACGAACACAACTTTATAAACTTGAAAGGCTAAAGAAGGAGGAGGTGTCTCCCCCGGGCGTCTGCAGGCCTCCTCGCCCCCGGCCGGACTCCGCTCACCCTGTCGACGAGGCTCACGTGCATCCCGCAGTTCTCTCGCGCTGTGGTCCCTCCACCCCACGGGTCACCACAAGCACCGTTTATGGGCCTTCCGCTGTGAGAGCAAGAGAGGGATGAGGTTTGCGGAACTCACCCTGAGCCCCTGGGAGGTGAGCTGCACTGACCATCCTTTATGGGAAACGAGGTGCCGCGGAAATTTGTCACCACGCACCTCGAGGGCCCCGACGTAGCCGCTGGGAGCCAGGGGCCAGGAACGTGCCCTCCCTCCGCCCAGGGGCTGCTGGTCGTCCACCGGGCCTCACCTGCCGAGCTCCTGTTCCCTTGGCCTCTCCTGAAGACCTTTGTCTCAGACCCCAGCAGGTGCCCCACAGTCTAATCCCCTGGGCAGAGTCTGTATGAGTTCTCTGCAAAGAAGTGGCTCAAGACGGGTGAAAATACCAGGAGACCTGCAGCCTGCCCCCACCCCGGGCTGCGCGACTCCAGGCAAGCCACTGACCTGCCGAACCCTCCGGGTCCCCATCTGTAACGCGTGACAGCCACTCCCCCTCATACGGCCTACAGGGAGGAGTATTGGGGTTTGAGATGGGAAGGTGCAAGTGACAGCTTTTGAGAGTGATGGCTCTGCGGGCGGAGGGCGAGCGTCCGCCTGGTGGGGGGTTTGCCGGAGAGAGCAGAGGCCTCGGGATGGGAGGCAGCTCACCCAGCACAAGTCCTGCAGAGCCTGCCTGCTCTTCCAGGGCTCCCAGCAGCGCGTGGACCACTCCCTCGGGGACCCTCTCCCCCTGACCTGTGACCCGTGCCATCCCCTGGATCCCCGGGGGGCCTAGTGCCAACACCCAGCGGGCAGAGCAGAAAGGGGATGCCTGTCCCGGAGCGTTTGTAGCGGGCCTTTGGGGTCCGTCGGGACAGAGAATGGTGTCAGCACCGCATTTTTTGCAAGAACCTGTTTCGCAAACATGTGCTCCCTCCCGCAGGGGCCCTCCCCGCGGAGGGTCCCCGGTCCGAACATGGAAGAAGGAGGAAGGCTGGGGGTCGGGAGGCCGGGTTCTCCCTGGCCTGAGGCGTGATGCCAGGCGAAGTTCACACCTGCCCTCATCTGCAGAGGGGACTAAAGGGGCCGCGTGTGCGGACCCGCGCAGCCTCCCGCGAAGGGCAGGGGAGCGGGTGCCGGTGAGGACACCCCAGAGAAGGAGAAAGACAGAGCCCCCTTGTCGTGCCTCAGCCCTGCCCAGCTGCTTCCCGGGAGAAGTGGTCACGAGGCTGTCTCTCACCAGGGAGCGGAGGGCGTGTAGAGGGTTTTCGGTCACTAATTTGCTCAGACGGGACCCAGGAACCACGTCTTCAACAACCTAGCACCTGGTCCGAGCTCGCGGTCAAGGAGAAAGGCCAGATCTTGGAGGAGGGGCCTGGAGGAGAAAGGCGCAGGTGCACAGGGAAGGTCACGTGTGATGTCACCAAACAGCCGGTCACCTGCGGGATGGCCCTTCCCCTTCAGAAGGACACCTGGCCAGAGGAGACTGTGCTCTGGCCCCAAAGACGCCGGTGTGTTCATTGTCCTGGGGAGAGGGGCAGGGTTTGGGGCTTTCTGCTGTGGGGTGATAGCACACCCTCCTGGACCACTTCGGTCACATCTCGGGGCTTCCGGGTCAGTCCTCGTATTGACCAATCTTAGCGGAAATCCCGTCACATTGCATAGCCAGAATCTCTGACCCTCCATATCCAACCGGCTTCCTGCTCCCCCTGCCCGCGGGTGACCTGCCTTCAGCAAGACTCCTGTTGGGTCACCTTAGTCAAGAACTACCCCGCCGTCTCAGCAACCTCCGGGCTCCCAGACCCTGCACCTTGGCTGTAAATCTCCACTTTCTGGTGGTTTTTGGGAATCGGATCTGGTTCCACACTGGGGCCACTTTCCCTCTGTTGAAATAGTTGCCGAATAAAACTGGTTTTTACCGTTTTGACTACGCACTACCGTCCGGCTCTGGTTTTCTCTAACAGGGACAAGGTCGCCGTCTCGGCCGTGGTGAGGGCAGAAGAGGAAACCCACAGGGGACACAGACGTTGGGAGGGACCCCGGTGCCACAGGTGGCCAGGGTGATACCGTGAGTCAGCAGCAGGTGTTACAGGATGAAACTGAGAATCACGCCCAAGGCTAGTGAGCCAGGGCGCGGATACCCAGCAGAGCTCAGCCAGTTAAGCGTCCGACTTCGGCTCAGGTCGTGATCTTGTGGTTCGTGGAGTCGAGCCCTGCATCGGGCCCTGTGCTGACGGCTCGGAGCCTGGAACCTGCTTCGGATCCTGTGTCTCCTTCTCTGTCCGCCCCTCGCCTGCTCCTGCTCTGTCTCTCTGTCTCTCTCTCAAAAATAAATAAACATTTAAAAAAAAATTTTTTTTTAATTTTGTTTTTCAACGTTTTTTATTTATTTTTGGGACAGAGAGAGACAGAGCATGAACGGGGGAGGGGCAGAGAGAGAGGGAGACACAGAATCGGAAGCAGGCTCCAGGCTCTGAGCCATCAGCCCAGAGCCCGACGCGGGGCTCGAACTCCCGGACCGCGAGATCGTGACCTGGCTGAAGTCGGACGCTTAACCGACTGCGCCACCCAGGTGCCCCTAAAAAAAATTTTTAAAAAGCGTCTCTTGTGGTTTGTTTCTCTCTCGTCTCTGTTTCCTCCCCATCCCATGTGTTCATCTGTTTTTTTTTTTAAATTCCACAAATGAGTGAAATCATATGATATTTGTCTTTCTCTGAGTGACTTACTTCGTTTAGCATCATACCCTCTAGTTCCTTCCACGTTGTTGCAAATGGCAAGATTTTGTTTTTTGATGGCCAGTAATATTCCATTAATCATACAGCCCCCCCACACCCCCCACATCTTCTTTAGAAACAATTTGACAAAAAGTGCTAAGTGTCGTTAGGACTGAGCCTGAATGTATGTCAGGTACTCGCCGTCACCCTGCACCGCCTTGGACAGACAGGGAGCAGACGTGGCCCAGGACCGGGAGCCTGCAGGGGCCAAGGACCCTCGGGACAGTGGAGGCACAGAGCCACTGGCCAGCACTGGGGAGGGACAAACAGCCAGCCCCACCCAGCCGGGGTCAGAGTGTCTGCCCAGGGGAGGTCGGCCGGGGCAGGAGAGGAGGTCGGCCGGGGCAGGAGAGGGGCCCAAGGACGGGAGGCTGGGTTTCATCGGGAGGAGGAGGAAAGACAGAAAACGTGAAGCAAAGAAAGTCCGGCTGGGCCAGAGCAAGAATAGCTCGGAGTCTATGGCAGAGAGCAAAAGCTTACCACCGAGGTCCTGGCAGAACAGAGGGTGGTGAGGAAGACATCGGGGAAACTCGGGGAGGCAGAACGCCCTTGGGGACGCCCCCAAGCGGATCTCCGGGACGCGCGTCCCCGACAGCGCCCCCCAGAGACTCATGGCTTCTCCATCAGTCGGTCCCTCGCTACCTTCATGAGCTCAGGCCATCGCTTCTCTGAGGCTCTTGGCACTTGTGCAGAGGGCTTCTCCTGCTCCTTTGTTCATTTGTTGCGGGACAAATAATCTCTCAGGCATTGGAATCGTGTGCTCCGCGGTAGCAGCTGGGGAGAGGAGACTCATTTCTCAAACGCCCCGGTGAGGGAGCCCTGGCCCCCAGACGGTGCCCTGCTGCTCCCCCCGCCCCCACCCTGCACCACTGGCGGTTCCGTGCAGAGGACCATTTGGAGCCAAGAATATGTAGAGCTGTGGCTTCATAATCTGAGATTTATGTAGCGTAAGTCCCAGCCAGTACATGGTAATAAAGGGGACAGGAGCGTCCAGCGCTCCCACCCTGCCGCGCGAGGAGGGACGGGGGCGGGAGCTGCGGCGGGGGGCCGTCTCCCGCGCCCGGGCGGTACACGGCTGGCCTCTGCAAACCCCTCGGAAGAGGGTCACGCCTGCAGCAGTGAATTCCCAGAGGGCGCCGGAGATGCCTGGCTGTCCACGGGCCCAGGGGGCGGGTTTAGAACGTCAGGAAGGGGCGTCGAGTCCCGCCCAGCCGTGAAGTCCAAGCACGATGCTGAGCTGCCGGCACCTGCCCGGGCTCTAGCAGAAGGGTGTTTGAGGCACTTGTTGCAACGATGACTCCTCACTCGGTGTCGCTTAAGGAAAAAGATGTCAACTCATCAGATATGTTTTAAAATTTTTTTTAATGTTTATTTTTGAGACACAGAGGGACAGAGCATGAGCGGAGGAGGGGAGACAGAGAGAGAGAGAGAGAGAGAGAGAGAGAGAGAGAGAGAGAGAGAGACTGAAACCGAAGAAGGCTCTGGGCTCTGAGCTGTCAGCACAGGGCCCCACACGGGGCTCAGGCTCACGAGCTGTGACATCATGACCTGAGCTGAAGTGGGATGCCCAACAGCCACCCAGGTGCCCCTTAAAGCAGCATCTTGACGGTCCCTTCTCGTTATTCGTGGTAGTTATATATATATATATATTTTAATGTCTATTTATTTTTGCGACAGAGAAAGACAGAGCATGAGGGGGGGAGGGACAGAGAGAGGGAGACACAGAATCTGAAGCGGCTTCCAGGCTCTGAGCTGTCAGCACAGAGCCCAACGCGTGGCTTGAACTCATGAACCGTGAGATCATGACCTGAGCCGAACTCAGATGCCCAACAGACTGAGCCACCCAGGTGCCCCTCATCAGATATGTTCTATAAAAAATAAACCATAAGGGGGCGCCTGGGTGGTTCAGTTGGTGAAGCATCAGACTCCTGATTTCAGCTCAGGTCATGATCTCACGCTCGTGAGTTCGAGCCCCACGTCGGGCTCTGCGCTGACCATGCTTGTGCCCTCTCTCTGTCTCTCTCAAAACAATAAACAATAAAAAAACAAACTGTAAACTCAGGAATACAGACACCACTGTGATTTCAAGTATCTTAAGGTCTGCGGCGAAGAATTCCAACATCCTTACTTATTTAATAATTCATTTTATCCAATGTTATTGGATAATAATTCATTTGTCCAATGTTATTTAAAACGTTTCTCCTTTCTTCAGTGTCCTATTTCAGACAAAAGTCTATGGAATAAAATACTTTCATACCCACCACTTTATTTTCTCAAAGCGTAATATATTTCTGTACTTGGTTTAGATGATTCTCTTTTAGAAATAAAATGTTAATAAGAGAATTGAAGCATCCCATTTGCTTTTCTCTTCCCTAATCCCAGCCACCCCCCCATCACCAGACACACACACTATCATGAAGCTGGTGTTGTGACACATATGTTTACCAAGGAACTACAGATGTCATTGTTTTGAATTATAACAGTTATGAAAGAATTATGTACAATCTATAGCATATTGGACGCATACATTGAAACCCCTCTTTGTGGTCAATATTATGTTTTTGAAACTTACACGTTGGCAAACAAGTTTTGGTACTTCAAATTTTCCCTTGCGATGAATAATTTTGTGTCTCATTTACGACACCTTTCCCCATCCGGAAGTCGTAAAGACATTAATGCTGAGTTCTGAAAGCTTTGAGGTTGTGCTTTTCTCGTTTGGATATTTAACCAACCTGGAATTTATGTTTATGTGTGACGTGAGGTAGGGATCCATCGTAGTTTTACTCCAGACAGAGAATATTGTCTCAACACCATTTGTTGAAGGCTCATCCTTTGCTTGTGTTGAGAACCAGCTCCATTCTACGCCAACACACAGGGCCCTGTTTTGGAGCACCCTACTTGGCCCATTTCTACCTTTGCCTGTCCCTGCATCAGTATTATCCTATCTTAATCGCCACAGGTTCCCAATAAGTGTTGGTGACTGGTGAATACGCGAAGGTCACAGCACAATGCACAGAGTCTATAATACCTCAAACGTGCTAAGTAAGGTAACGGCAAGCTTTCAGGTCCCTTTCCAGCTATCTAAACAATAATTCAGCAGTGAGGACAAAATGAAGTCTTACAACTGTTGTTTGAAACCTTCACGGATGATTCAGATGATCCCCGAGGAGGAGGAGGACGCCGGCTGTATGTATCTGCACTACTCCTGTTCTCTCTCTCCTTCTCTCTTCCCTTTGGTGCTCCCTGACTTCTTCAGTTATCACTTCCTGTCTGTTTGAAGACTTTCCTCTGCCCAGTCTTTAAAAGCAGGTCTTCCAGTGATGATCCCTTTCTGTGTGACGTCACCTGGGAACGTCCCGGGCCCTCCTGGAGGACATCTTCGCCGAGACAGAATCCTCGAGATCCTCTCCTGTTCACGTTCCTCTGGCCCCCGTGGCTTCCAGTGGGGCACCTGTTGTTGCTGGAGTGGGTGCCCACCTGTGGGTGACGTGCCATTTACCTCTGGCTACTCTTAAGACCTTTTCTTTGTCACTGGTTTCCGGAAGCTTCACTGTGATATGTCCAGGCACAGATGTTCTGGGGATTATTTGATTTGCGCTCGGCGCTCGGCCCATCCTTCCCAATCTGCAGGCTTATGTCTTTCACCACCTTTGGGGCTGTTTCAGCCCGAGTTCTGACCACGCTTCCCTCTCCTGGGACCTTGGCTTATGGGTGCTGGAGATTCGCTTATTGTTCATAGTCCCAGGGGCTCTGCCCATTTCTTTCTGTCTTTGTCCTCTGTGTTGAGAACGGGGCGATCCCTTTGCTCTGTCCTCAATTCCCAGACTCTGGTCCCTTATTTCCACCCCAGAAACCCCAGAAAGTTTATCTAAAGTTTCTGTTACTGTGCTTTTCAATTCTATGGTTTCCACCCGATACTTTTTTTTTTTTCTTACAACTTCTATTTCTCCACTGAGATTCTCTTTTTTTTCCTTTTGTTTCAAAAGAATCTGTGACTGATCCTTGATGCATTTTTATGACGACTGCCTTAAAATCTGGTCTGATAATTCCAGCATCAGATTCATCTTGGCACCAACATTTGTTAGTTATATTTTCTCACTCGCATTGTGGTTTTCGGTTACACTGCGGACACTTCGTCTGTCATGTCTGGAGACTCTGGACTCTACTTAAATATTTTATTTTAGCAAGTTACCACTTTGCTCACATTAGCCTACAGGCCCTGGCTATGGTTACACTAACAGCTCAGTTTCCAGAGTACTTGTGGTATTATTTTGGGCTCCTTGGCTTTTCTGGTGCTGTTAGGGTCCCCTTTGGTCCCTCTCGGATCCACCTGAGGGGACGAAGGGATTTCTGCAGACCAGGCCCCCATGTGCCTCTGGATGGGGGAGGAAGTCTCGGGACTCCCTGGCCAGGCATCACTGGGGTGGGGTCCCCCAAACTCCTCACTGCCTTTGAGATGAATAGGGCCCCCAGGTTGTGCCATTTGCTTTGGGGGGGTCCCTCTTGCCCCTGCCCCAGCTGTCCCTGTATCGCTACTTAGAAGGGGCATCTCAGGCTGGGTGGGGAAGGACAATGTCCGCCCTAGCCACTTATTTTTGGCGAAGCTCCCAACTGCTCCCCCCATTGCTAGTGGTTCTGGGTTTTCGGGGGGACTGATGTTCGGTCCAGGGGAGGAACCAGCCAGCTGGGCCTCTTCTGCTTCTGTCTGCCTGGGGGACAGAAAGCACTAGGGCTTCCGGCTTTCTCCATCTTGGGAAACTGCAGACCCCGCCCCGTTGTCCAGACCAGAAACCAGGGAGTGGTCTTGGAATGGTGGGTTTGTGCAGCCCGCACACATGTGCTGTGTTGCGGGGTGTGTTCGTGTGTCCCAGCTCTTCACAGCCGCAGCTGTGACCCAGGTCCAAGAAAACTCCCCATTGACCACATCTCCAGGACAGCGTCCCCTTGGGTCACTGCTTCCTTGCTCCTCTGCAGCTGCCCGAGTGAGTGGCGTGAAGGGACCCCGGGTCACAGCGCTCCTTCAAGCACTCTGCGGGGTCCCGTCATACCTAGGCTAAAAGCCTCAGCAGCCCCTAGGCCCAGGCTGGACCCTCCCTCGATGTCATTATCCACCCCCCTTCTCCCATCACCCGTGATGTGGGCCCCCCTCCTGTCACCTGTGATGCAGTGACCCCCCTTCCCCCATCACCCGTGATGTGGGGACCCCCCTTTCCCCTCTCACCCCCATTGTGGCCGTACTTCCGGGCACAGGCCCCACAGACTGCCAGGGCAGGGTGTCACTGTGTGCTCTCTCTGTGTGGGTTGTTTTTCTCATCTCCTGTGGCTATACCCTGACTGGGTCCCAACCCACTGCCACCTTCTCAAGAGAGGTTTCGTCCTGGAGACTCAAGACTTCCCACCCTCAGGACCATCTTCTGGGACCTTGCCTCATTTTGCCTTTCCCAAATCACAGCAAGCGCTCAACAGCAGCTTATTTGGTTACTGATTTAGTGTGCTGGGTGCCCGCCTCCTGTGGCAAGGACCCCCGTGTTGGCCCCGGCCACCGCTGCAGCCCCAGAACCCACGGACCGCCTCCCACAGAGTAGGAGCCCTGTGAGCACTGGGTGCAGAGTGAGCACAGCCGGGCGGGCAGCAGGGAGCCATGCAAGGTCTCGGAGCAGAGTCCTGGGGCTCCTGGCCCCTCCCCCACCCTGGAACAGTCTTCTCTCGCGATCAGAGAGAGTGAGCGACACAGGTGAGCAGAGCCAAGGCCGGGATGGAGGAGGGGCTGCCTCAGCTGTGTCCAGACCAGACCCTATCCCAGCACCCTGATTTCTGG